CTGGAAAGGAGCAAAACCTAAAAGGCTGGCTTTGCTGCAGTCTACCCTCAGGGAGCAGGACCAGGTTCTGATGGGACGCATGCTTAAAATTCAACCTGCAGGGAGGAAGCCTGACGGAGTTGCTGAAATTGCCAGGCTATGGCTCCATCTCAAGACACAAGGTCCATCCCTTTTCTAACTAACAAAGGAGGGTACAGTTGCTGTGCAGGGAACAAGCTCTCAGCATTTAAAGCTGTTTACAGAGGTGCCACCGAGATGAAGGGCAGCTCAATTCAACTAAATGCATGCTTTCTTTGCTCCGGTGGCACATACACATGACACTAGTGACACCTGTGGGCTGGATGGCTTCTTGTACAGAGGGCTGTCACATACACTGGCACATTACCAGCATCCTGCCCTCAACTCAATCGAGGAGAAACCATTAGCATACCACAGCCAACAGTGACCATGGCCAAACCATCAAAGAGGAGGACTGGTGTTCTCTGAGGGGTGGCAGGGAGTGGTGATGGTTCCTTTGGCCCTACTCTACCAATCTCAATGTAATCTTCACAATGTTTCTTAGGGACTGCAATGGAAGGAATGAAGGTTCTCTAAACAGACACTGCACCCCTCCCTTTCATTATCAGACTATTAAAACAATGCCCTCCCCAAGCTGGAATTTGCTCAGGAACAGCACAGTGAGAGAAGGAAAAGGCTGGGACCTAGTGCCAGCCAGAGAGGAAGTCTATTTCACAAAAGAGTTCTCTCTGTCTCTGTCTCTGTTTCTCTCTCTCAATGTGTGTGTATATGTGTGTGTGTGTGTGTGTGTGTGTGTGCATGCGTGCATGGCGTGTATGTATACACAGATATGTATCCACACTGTGAAGGCCAGAAGGCCAGACAACCAAAGCTGTCATTGCTCAGAAACCAACCACCTTGTGTTTTGATACAGGGTCTCTCATTGGCTTAATATTTACCAATTAGGCTAGGCAGGCTGCACAGGCCAGGGATTTACCTGTCTCTGCCTCCCCCAAGCACTGGGATGACAAATGCATGCCACCATACCTGGCTTTTTCACCTGGGCACTAGGGAACAAACTCAGGTTCCAAGCACTGTACCAACCTAGCCATCCCTAAGTCCCTCCTGAAAAGCATTTGCCTAAGAAGACTGAAGCCAGGACAGTGATGATGGGTGGGGCCATACACGACCCAGGACAACTCAGTTTGGAGCACTTTCCTCTGCTGAGGCATAAACCTCCAGTCAGACCTCTGACAATGCACTTGGTGGTCAATGGGCCTCTTCGCTCTCCTTCCCTATGTGGCTACTTTAAGTAAAATATGCATAGTTGGCCTTTTGAGAAAAAATGGCCCAGCCTACCTTGTTAGGGCTGCTAAGGCCCAGGCTCTGACCTTAATTCCAATAACACTGAATCACCATTATGCATTACAGATACAAAAAAAAAAAAAAAAAAAATATGATATCCCTGATTCAGTTTCAATAAACTGAAACTTTTCTTGAAATATGATGTAGGTTTATGTGTTAAGTCTTAAAGAAACCCTGGACAAAATGGTTCCCTGGGTGTCTATGAACATATCAAAAGGTACTGTGGCCAGCTCTCCCAGCATCACTCATTAACCTGTGCCTCCTCCCAGCACTTCTCAACTTACCTCTACCCTAAGCTTCTCTTCCCTCCCTTCCCCAGCTCCTCAGTCCCTATACAACTCCGCCATTTTGGCTACATGCCCTCTTGATCCACTGTACTCCCTTTGTCTCTGCTTCCTGGATTACACCTGGCCTCTAGTCTCTGGTGCCCTCTCCTGCCCTCTTTCCTCCCTTGCTCACTTGCCCCCTTCTCTTATGGCCCAATTTGGTCTGGATCCTTCCAGATGTCTCCTTCATGTCTACAATAAACATTTTCCTCAACCCATACCTAGGAGCAGTCATGTTCTCATTTTTTCATTCAGTGTGAAAAGAAATAAGCTGACTCTGAGATGTTCAAACAGTATAGGATCGCCAGGAAGATCTAGTGTCAATAAAGAGCTTTAGTAACACAAGCTATCACAAAATTTTACAGACACTTTATAGACAGAAGTGAGCAACTTTCCTGTGCATATTTTACAGTTAAATTGGATCCAATTGCCTTTAATCCCTGCAACTTAAGCACCTCCAAATATACCACTAAGAACATCAACATGTTATCACAGTTTATGAGGGAAAGCGATGAGCCAGCTGGGCATGAGGAATCTGTTCACTCAGGCAGGCTCACTACCTGATGCCTACCAAAAGCAAAGAACCCAAGCAACCTGACCAGACAGTAGCACATCAGAAGTACCACAGCTTATCAGCTTCAGCAATTGAAGGCACTCTTAGAGCAATGGGAAAGATCAAACAGTTTTCAAAATTCATAAGGACTCGAAAGAAAATGTATGTCTACGCTGCACCGTGATCTACAACCAAACGTGAGCAGACTGGACCGCCCTGGCCCCAGAGAGTGTGACTGCAGAGGAGTACAGGCTCCCTTCCTGCTCCAGAGACATTCTTTTCCAAGTCTGATTAAGTTTTCAAACATCAGAGCATAGTTCTTTTGTTCAGAAAAACATGAGCCCAGTACAGGGACAAAGGAGCTTCAGGGAGCAAAGCTGGCTATACAAACACACCAGCCCTTCAACTCCCACTGACCATGAAAACTGCAGGCGGGGCAAGACCAGAAGGGAAACCCCACACTTAAAATCACAATGCAATTCTGATTCTAGAAAGCAAGTTTACCATGTATAAAAAAAGCTAAGACTTTGAGGAAATGACTCATTCCACTGACAGGGAAAGGAGGGACCATTAAGCTGAAACCCTACTCAGGATCATATAATTAGTGTGACCAGGAGAGGAAGTCCCACAGACAAGAGTGTACAAGGACCATTTTGGTGCTGCAAATTAATAAAACAAATACTGGAAAATATGAAGCATCTTTTCACAGCAGTGCTCTCTGGTGTCTCCAGGAAAAGCATGTAAGAGAGAGTTCTGTATGTTAGTGTAAGCAATATTATGGTATGTATGAGTATGTACATGAGTGTGTGTGTATATGCATGGACGGATGGATACATTTTCATCCACACTTCTTGGCTCCTGATACTCCAAGAAACTAAAGAATCTCTTCTCTACAGAAAAGAACTGAGAATCCTTTCACGAAGCCTGTCTAAAAATACTCCTCCTCCCCAACACTGTGTCTTGGGATTTCCTATTAGGAAAGTCTTAGTTACCTTGACTGATATGGTCACTAGCCCTAGTACCAGGAGGGTCTGCTCTTTAGACAGAAAGAAAAACGTTACAGCCAGCCCAAGAAGAACATGAAGCAACAGCTAAATTGCCCTGCCCAAGCTACTGACACCAGCTCGGACATGTTTGTGCATGCTTCCATAGGGTTATCCGCCCTTTAATGCGATCTCAAAACAGAACAAAACAAAATGAAACAAAACAAAAGACATGGAGCTAGGGAATCTCTGCACAGTGGAAAAGGCAGGGCCTCACAGATGGTTGAATGAGAACTCATTCATGAAGACGTCAGAAGCACCCGTAGCCAGGATCGTTCCGGACCTGTTCTGTGTTTCTTTTTCTCTAATCAGGTTGTCTAGATTTGCAACAAACCAGGAAATGTAACTAAGTTCTATGAGCTACACTAGGAAATTAATAATGCACAGAGGTGTCAGAAGTTGGAGAGGCAGGAACTTGTGACTGACGTGGGGTTGTCCAGGAGGAGTGAGGCCATCTGTCGGACCTGCATACTCTCTACACAGAAGTAGTGTTGGAAAAGAACAGACTTCAAGAGCAACCAGAGGAAATGTCCACACATCACTAGGGTAAAAGCTTCACACATTCTGGGATCTAAAGTGGTTTGTGTTGGGAGAATACAGTAAGAAAAGCTGAGGTTGAATGTGTTGCCCCATTGTCCCATTTATCGTCAAAACCATCTCCACAAAAGAGCTATTATTGCCTTTCTCAGCACCGACAGGTTCCCACAGATGTGTCAGGCTTTCCTAGAGGCTTCAGAAACAGGCTGGAGAAGCTAGGAAATACACCTAACACTTTATAAATCACACATAAATCTGAAATACATGCTTTTCCATTATGAAGAGGGTCTCAAATATTTATCAGACTATCAAAGCAGGACACAAATTGAGAAACATTTGCTGCTGAAAATGATACACTGCCATCTGGTTCCTATGATTAAAACATTCCAGCAGTCCACAGCGACTCCCTGTTTTGTATAACTAAAGACTACCACCACATCTAGTGAGATCTGCCACAAACCTGTCAGGCTTAGCATATGGGAAACAAGCCAAGCGGCGGCGTATGCCATCCCAACAGAACAAAACTCAAACACATGAAGAAAACAAAAAAAGGCTCACACCTCACATGGTGTGCCAGGTGACACTAATGAAGTTTATGACTGGACTCCTTTCACAACTTTACGTAAGTACCATGGCCTTCTGGTGACCAGCTTGGCTCTCTGAAAAGATGGACTCAGAACGTCTGAGGAATGAAGCAGTGTTATCAGCAGTTGTAGGAAAAGATGACAGGGGCTCATACCATTGATGGTCACATCCTCTGTCTCAATAGCTAGCAGGGACCAAAACAAGCCCTTCAAAGAAGTTCCCGTCTCAGAGAAGGTTCCTTCTATGTCCCCAGCCTTTTCATTTTCTAAAGAGTGACAAAAAAGTCTTCTATGCTTCACATAAAATGTCACCTTCATAGAAAAGAGGGCTTGAGAACTGGATAGAGAGGAGAAACTGTGTCAAAGGGAAAAAATGATGGACACCACCGAGCAGGCAAAGGTTAGTGTACCCAGGAACTCTTTACTGCTCTCCTCTTGAGCAAAGATGAGACTTTAGGGCAGCCCTTTGCTGTGCTCTAGATACAGGGTTTCCTGAGAGAGGAAAGCAGGGAATGCCCATTTAGCCTGCAAAATGACAGAGGTAAGGACACAGCAACCAACAATGCAAAGCCCAGAGACCCCCGGTTTCTCTCACCTCCACAGGAAACCTCCGGCCATTGATGCTGTGCTCTGAGCCAGCTGAGCCATTGCTGTGGCCCCAGTGAAACTCCACCTTCTCAGCTTTGAATCTGCCAGGCAGTCCAGCGCCACTCACAAAATAATCATCTTTCAGAAGGATGGCAACTGTCAAACAGGAAGGAAGGGAAGGAAAAAGAAGTGAGTTTTAAACCCAAATGTAAATTTTGCTGCTTTGTTTTTGTTCTTCTATTGCTTCAGTCAAGTTTATGACTGGCGTGGTGTGGATCACTCCCTTATACAGCTATAAGGCGAGGCAAAAAACCAGTAAAGGCATCACAGCTATACAGTGTTCCTTGGACCACCAATTGTCTCTTGTGTATAGTGTTATCCTGAGTCACCTTCATCAGAACAGCTGTGACTGCTTGCAAGAGACCCCAGAAGACAGGGTCTGTCAGCCACTGGGGCCCTCCTCACACAGGAAGGATCGCTGGACCTTCACTTAGGTCCCAGCTTATCCCTTCTGAGCCAGCTAACTTTTGTCCTAAGGATGCATGGCTTCCTGTCTCAAGGGTATGGGAAAGTAGTGAATGGAAGATTAACTCAAGTAGGAATTATATCTATGTACAACTGTGGGGAAGTCATCATCCAGACTTTTGGGGGGTCACCCACATTCCAGAAAGTAACCTATCTCCCATGCATTGTAAATAAGCCTAATAAATAAATTCTCCAGTTTGGACGCTGGTGGGCTTATATCCTGGTTTGTCACCAGTGTCCTTAGAAGAGGGGGCCAGAAATCTGGTTACATCTCCTTAGGCAAAGGGTTACCACAATAGTTCTAAATTATGGCAATTCCTAGAGAAACTGGAGAATCCCTTATCTAGTTAGCAGATAGGAGGTGCTTGTAGAAAGCAAGATACTTCTGAAGCACTGGCTGCCGAGGCTGCCCTAGGATTCCAGGCAAAAACCAGACGAGAAATATACAATAAGCAACATATGACACGCAAAAAATACAAAACATAAGACTTAGGCAAGAGAGCACAGAAAGGGATTTGGAGGCGGGTTCCATATTAAAGCAACAGCAGCAGGTAGACAGCCATAGCTGTGGATGGCTGTCTTCTTCATCATTACTTACCAGGCCCAACAATGACGAACAGAATTACTGACCAATTGTAACTCATTAAAATATTTCCTCTACTTTAACTTTAACTTTAAGCTTTCTTTAACTCCAAGCATAAGAAAATTATGTTCAACTCATGACTTCACAACATAAAAGGTTTTGAGCACTTGAAACCCCAAATATTAAAAATGTAGCTCTCTTCCTCAAACCCCAAGAACAGAAATTCAAGAATCATTTGAGTTTCTGTTTCTATAAAACTTCAGTTTGTACAAGGGGGATTGAGTGTCTGAAAGCATAACAAACAGTGTCTCTTTTACTACTGCTACATTCTAACTCTCTTTCTTGTTCCCTATAAAGTTGGTTCATTCATTCATTTAATAAATTCTTATTGGCTGCTAAATACATGGAAGTTGCCAAGTGATACACTGATTGGCACAGGACCAAGTGGCAAGCCTGTGTTGGCTATGGGAATGCACTCAGGTTCTCATTGTCTCCTCTTCCTAAAGAGATCCCAGTCAGAGCCTCACAGAGGAATCCTGCATGAAAATTAGGCCCACATAAAAGATAGGGGCTAGACTAATGACCCATTTCTGAAACAGGGCAATTAGTTTCAGTGCTTTGCTATGGAAAGGAAGCATTAAAAGCAGGAGAGGGGGCCCGGATCACATCAATCCCCCTTTTATTACATTCAAAAGGCACTTGTTCACCAACTTTTGAAAACTACACAGTAAATGTTCAATTAGTGGGACAGTGCATTAAAGAATAAAATGAAGTAAAAGCAAGCATTTCTCGTGCCAATTAAACAAGCTATGGCATTGTTCCAGCGTTGCTCTGTTTGGGTCTGCTTTAGAATAGAGGTCGGCACACTTTCCCTTTAATGGGCATTAGTAAATATTTTAGGCTTTGCGGAGCACTGAGCCCCTGGTGGAAACTTGATAGAATAAAAGCAGAAAGAGTCTATATGTAAATGAACAGATGAGACTGTGCTGTACAAAAACATTATTTAATCACATTGAAATCTGAACTTAACGCAATTCTCATGCACCATAGAGTATGATCCTCCTCTTGATTGTGTGTGTATGTCCTGTGAGCATGTGTGTGCATGGGTATACATATACATGAGTAAACATATACATGAGCCAGAGGTCCAAGTCAGGTGTCTTCCTGAATAGCACGTTAGTCTATTCTGTGAGACAGATCCTCTCACGGAGCCTGATGCTCATTGACTCGCAGGCCGTTGAGGCCTGAGTCCTCTTGTCTCATTCTCCCAGCACTGACACTGCAGGAACGCACCATGCCACTTGGCTTTTACAGAGGTCCTGGGAATCCACAATCGGCTCCTCTGACTTGTGAGGCCAACACTTTTCCCACTGAGACGTTTCTCTAGCTGCTTTTTATGAGTTAACCATTTAAAATATGAAAATGCACAGATGTTGTCACTGCCTGGAAAATATTATTAAAATCATTATGAAGTTGAGCACACGGAAGTATGTGCTCAAACTGAGAGTACAAAGCTCTTATAAAATAACTTCTAAAGTGCTTGCTATGCAATGCCTCCATGTACCTTTCATGTCAGTGGCAAAGCACACAGGCACCTGTCCGGTGGTGTCTTAAGTGCTGCTGACTTTTCTTAGCCCACTATAATTCCTACAGATTCAATTTTGCTTCAGAAGCATGGAAGCAAAGATTTTGAGTGTATCTTTTAGGACACACCCAGGGACTCAGCATTATCTCATGAATATTTGATTCTGCCTAAATCATTTATGTCTCTGTCAGGGGTCATTTTACTTGTTTTATATGAATAATTAAAGGTATAATTAGGGAACTGTATAATCTGAAACATTAATCTCAGTTTTCACTTTATGGAATCTCTCACCAGTCACTCAGCGTGCCATGTACATGGACACCTCCAAAAATAGCTGGTATTTGTTTACATTTTATGGAGTGGGGAAGGGGAAGCTTCCCCAGGTGGCTTCTAACAACTTTTACAGGGGCCGATGATGGGTGACAGCACTATTTCAGGAAAAACGGGAAGAAAAGATAGTTTCATAGACCACAAAACATCTTATGACAGGGTGGTGTGACCTCCAGCCAGTTCCCAAATTCTCTGTTCCTCAGTTTCCTTCACTGTTCACAAAGGTATGGCCACAGCGTCAATCCGGTGAGGCTACAGGATGCCGCTTTCCACAAACACCATATGCAGTGCCAGGAACGCTGTAAGCACAGGGCCAAGGTGACTACTGTCACTCTTCTCAGGGAGCAAGGCTCAGAAGCAGGGGAGGTGCAGAGGGGAAGCTGCAGCCACACCAATGTGACGCTACATGTTCACACACAGTTCGATTCAGGCTGGGATGGGGCTTAGTGGTAGAGCATGCGTGAGCATGCTCCAAGGCAATAACCAGCAAAGTACACACGGCAGAATTTAAATTTACAGCCAAGTGTGCCTTAGGCCAATCCTGGGCGGTAAACTTAAGGGCTGAAAGGCCATTTTCACTTCACTCCAGAACAGACTGAAAAAAGACACTTTCTTTGACAAATTATTTCAGTTCATCCTTTGTCTTTGAAAACAAAATCCCTGTTACTTATTCATTCCACTCTTTGTTTCAAAAGGAAGTATTAGACTAGAATTTAATAACATAGGAATCTCTGATTTATTTTCATGGATTATAGATTTAATTTTAACAGTAAGTCTGTGTCGAACCCTGGGGTTTTCCATTTGTGATTTGGATAAAAAATTTTCTTTGAAAAATAACCTTAATTAATCAAAATAAAATTATCAAACTTGAAGAAAAAGACTAAGTAAAGAATACTACAAGATTGAACAAAAACAAAATGTAGAACAAAAGAAGTAGCAGGTAAATATTGATAGAGCAGACGTGAGGGAGTTTGCAAGTGAACAGTTCAACACTGGAAAGCAACCATTCAAAAATGGAAAGTCTCACAGGGCCGAAAACTTGGCCGCTGGCATCTCAATCACCAGTGTTCTTTATCAGACAGTGAGGCCCTTGGAAGGCGTTGAGATCATATGTTGGAGTGGCTGCATAAAATGAGTGCCCTCTGAGGTGAGCAGGAAAGGGACTCCTTCCCCTTTCCACCTTTGGGAGGACACATCGAGAGGGGACCCTCTAAGAAATGTGGGAGTGAAATCTGCAGGTGCCTGAAGTTTGGCCTTCTACACTCCATATCTGTGAGAAATGTGTAAGTTACTCAAAGCACGATATGCTGGAACAGCAGCCTGAGCTGACAAAGACAATGGGACAGATGGGGATGGAAGGAATTTGTATGTGAGTCACCTTCTGAGGACTTTCATGTGGATCAAATACTAATACAGACTGTGAAGAAATCAAAACAGCAAGGGAAGTGGGGGGGTGGGGGTGTTGTATATACAGGACCTTCACATTCAAGGTTTTTGACAGTCTGGAATCCAAGGCCAGGGTCCACACCAGCAGCTACATCAGAGCCTTTCTTTAGACTGTAAGGTTACGCTCTCCTTCAGGCAAAAGCAAGAACATTGCCTCTTCAGGACCTCACAGAGCCACTAGGTTGTAGGCTGCAGCGAATAGTGTATCTGAGTACTGGTGATGCACTGATGGGAAGCTCTGGGAGCCCTGCAGGGAGCTGCAACCTCCTCTGCATTATCCTCAGCACCATGCAGGCCGGCAGCAAGAGGGAAGTGGATAAGAATCCAGGGAGGAATTAGTGTGCTTTTAAGTCTACAGTTCTCACAACATGGCTCCACCATTACAGCCCCAATGTCAGTAACCTGAAGGAAGCAGAATGGCCTCTGACCTTTGTCTTTAGTTGATGTGAACTATATGTCTACAATTGTTTTACTAACAGAAAATATTTTTTTCAAGATTTCCTTTTAGTCTATGTGTATGAGCACTTGTCTGTATGTGTGCGCGTGCACTGTGTCAGTGCCTGCAGAAGCCAGAAGAGGGTGTTGGATTTCCGAGAGCACAGATGGTTTAGAGCTGCTACAGGAGCCTGGGAAGCAAACTTGGGCCCTCTGCAGGAGCAGCTGGTGCTTTTAACTGTTGCACCAACTCTCCAGCTCCTCACAACCACTTCTTGAAGATGACTATAATAGGTGCAATGGTATTTTCAGATGTGGAAAGGAATATAGACAGAAAAACACGGTAAACCGAATGCAGTGGGAAAACTGGAGAAACAAGCTCTATGGTAAAGATGTCTGCCATGTGTCCCAGGGACAGCACAGAAAAACTAGTAGTTCAAAACAATGCCAAAGTACTCTAAGAGTTAAAAATCACAGAGGACAAGATTTATTGGCACGTGTCAGAAATCCCATGGAAGCTTTGAACCCAGTCATGAATGCTGGAACAGTAAGACTGCATTGAAGCACAAAGATGACAGGAGGACTGTAACTCAGACCGCCATGGCTCCTGGGGAAGAAACGGAGGCACCATCTGTCTCACAAAGGGATTTTAGACTTGTTAAAAGTAGGCGAGGTGAAACCCAGACACCCTATGATTATAGCAGGTGAGACACATATATACAGAGGTCCCAGGAGTAAAGAAAGATCCAAAGACTGTTTTACAGGAAGCCACTGTCTCTATATAGCAGCAGCTAAATATTAACTTAATATATTCATATTTCAATATCAAGAGACAGTCTAGTTTACAGATAAGTGACCTCAAATATCAATGAAAAGGGAAATACATCTTGGATTTACTTTTTGGAAATATGAGGCTTATAAAAATACTTCTAGAGAAGAAAAATATGCTTAAAAATAATGATTTATAGATTTGAAATGTAACTCAGTAGGAGAGAGCCTGCCTTGCAATGCAAAAAGACCTCAGTTATATCCCTAGCATTGAAAGAAGTAAATAAATAAAAGGGAGGGGGAGATAATGATATAAGAAAGAAAAGATTGCTTTCACTATCTAGGTATAAAGGATAGATATAGCTACAGCACATGATTATATAGTATGGATTTTTTAAAAAACAAAATTTTTTGATAACTGTAGATTCACATCTAGTTTTAAGAAATAGGTAAAGATAATATGGCCCCTTTCCCCTACAGCCCCCAAAGTAATGCTTCAAAACTCACAATACGTATAAAAATACATCCTCCCAAAATTTGAATGCTCCAGGTTATGTCTCAGTATGATTCACTGGGAATTAGCATCTAATGTTAAGCAGCTACTAAGAACTCTGATCTGACGAGTACTGAATTCATATTAATTATATGGATCGAGATGATCCAAACAGAACCCTCAGTGGGTGGATATTTCTCCCAAATAATAGTAAATCTGTGAAATTAATTTTAACATTGACAGAATGAAAAGTAGCTAGGTTTATCATTTAAAAAGACTACAAGTTGGTTCCGGTGCCAAAGTTCCAATAACACTATATGCTGAAACTTTTTTAAGAGCTTGAGTAAATGGCTGTGTGTTCTTCTGTCAAACGGCAGGGAGTAGCTGTCACTTTGGAACTCCCTCTCATCATCTTAGTGAATCCATGGGCCACAGTATAGTGTCCTGTGAATGTCGGAGAAATGCAGACAGTCCAAGCAGTACCTGGGACTGACAGCTTCTTCTCCTAACGCCTCCCTTCCGCATGGCAGACAGATACAGCCACACGCTCCTGGCTGTGCTCCAGAATCAGGAAAACACAACCACAGGCAACAGGTAGCACATCACTCTAGGATGTCAGCGGGGCGACAGAGATTGATCAGCGGCTGCTAGAAGGCCAAGGTCATGAATCAACGTATACTGAATGAACCCTGCACATGTCTGAAACCTTCCACTGCTGATCCCAAGCTGAAAGCTGTCACCGAAACATGTTATCTCTGCAGAAGGCTGTCAAGCATTGCAAGTCAAGTGGAAAACTGTAGCAGGGCGCCCAGGGTGCTGGCATCTAGAATGAGGCCCTGAAGTGGCTCTTCCTCCAAGCTCTGGTTACATGTCAAAGCTCTCACCCACTGTATTCCGATGGCTTCACGGGAACACTTACATTTGATACACAAAACTTCACCGTGGACCATAACAGTGAGCCCATGATCTATGCTGAAGCTGGGGAGAGATGGAAAGGTGTTTGGAAAGGACGTTTCTAGGGCATGTGACATGTTCAGCTGCTAAAAAAGGTCAGAGTGGAGAGAACCAACACCCCAAAATTTTTCTTTGAGTGCTACTCTGTGCCCATACTATGACACATAGCCCCCACTAACATTCTCTCTCTCTCTCTCTCTCTCTCTCTCTCTCTCTCTCTCACACACACACACACACACAAACACACACACACCAGTGCAATGATATCATAAGTAACATTGGTGGGTCACCAGTTTATCCTGTACACTACACAAATGGGTCAATTAAGGTACAGGAGAGTGTGGATTGTGATATATCCTGTGGTAGTTTGAATGAGAACTGTCCCCCAAAGGCTCGGGTATTTAAACACTTGTCAGTGGTGCTGTTTGGGGAGGTGGTGCAGCTTCGCTGGAGGAAGTACATCATTGAGGGCAGGATGTGAGGATTCATGGCTTCACCTAATTTCCTTTTTACCCTCTGTTTCATGCTTGCAGACAAGGAGAGAGCCTCTCAGCCTCCTGCTCTGCCTCTCCGCTGCCATGATGGACTCCTTCTAGAACCATATGACCAAAGAAAATCTTTGATCTGTAAGTTGGCTTGGTTATAGCTTTATTACAGCAACAGAAAAGTAACTAATGAAGAACAGAAGGTGAACTCTACATAGGGCTTTATGGGAAAGAGGCCAATGCCAACAATCACTGTAAGGAGTGCGGCAAGCACTGTGTCAATTAGTCAGTCCAGGTCAAAGTCAAGAGCAGCTTCAGACAAATGCTGGTCTGCAGAAAGAAAATGGATTCCTACAGCTGCCTGTGTAACCAAGAAGGGTTAGAGAAAACGCAAGTCTGAGGTCTACTGACACACATGGGGCCAAAGCAGATAATAATTTCATTTTAGACCAACACAGAGCCTTAGGACATCAGGGTATTGTGTATTTCTGAGAATGACTTGCTTGGTTGCAAATGATTCATTGAGATGGAGGAAAAAGAGGGAGGGAGTACGGACATTTATTTTAATGGACTCATGTTATTAGCACCTAAGTAATACGATGATAAAGGTCTTTTTAGATATGAACTTAATCCTTGGCTATAGTTAGCAGTGACATAACACACACCTCAGTGCTTCCAATGAGATCAGGAATGAGGCACAGCACAACATTTCCTGTGGCATCTGTGAACACCCCAGAAACCCTTAGTTGTACTGCCGTGATTAACCAGGACATTAAGGATGCTGAGAAGATGGCACTGTGTCACTGAGCCCCTGGTGACAAGTGGTGTGTAGGAGGAAGGAAGAAGGTTCAAACCCTAGGACCGATAAATAAGGGGCTGAGGCAGTTCATGCCTCCCTGATATTGTAACAATTCTGCGAGGAGCACGCCGTCAAGGAAAATAAAATAGGATGCGCTGCACTGGTGTCCTTGGCACAGTGCGTTCTCACAGAAGGTTCCCTCTCCATGGCGCTCAGTGTGGCAGCCGCTGACTCTATATGGCTGCTGACGTTTCGAGATGTGTCTGGCACAGTGGAGGGCTCAGTTTCATCTCATTTAATGTGTTTTCCTGAGGCAGGAGCTCACTGTGTATCCTTGCTGTCCCAGAACTCACTCTGTCAACTCAAACTGGCCTCAAACTCAGATTCACCTGCCTCTGCCTCCCGAGTACTGAGTAGAAGGTGAACTTCATCGTGCTCAGCTTTTATTTTTTTAATTAAAGCTTAAATTTATGTGAAACCCCCAAGACATCAAATATTTATACTTAATGAGTATCTTCTTCAAGTCCATTCTATGAACCCAACACATTAATTCACTGGACTACTGAAACCAAAGGGTATTATTTTATGACACATATGTTATATATTTATAAAAATCAAGGCACAGAATAGTAAGGTATTTGCCTGAAGTCACACATTGGTTGGCTGTCAACCCAAAGAGTGCTTTAGGTTCCCTATAGCAGTATATACTATTTAAGAAGAAAGCTAGAATAAAGCCATACACCCCAAAGCAGTTTTTGTTGTTGGTAAACAAAGATAAAGAAATAGATAAAATACTCTACCTGTTTTCCCTGTGTTCTTCATCCAGGTTTTGTTGGAGGACTCGTTATCAAATCCATCAAGTTGAAGCTCCTGGTATTCTTCGCCAACACGTGCATGGTGGTCTAAAATGTCTATAGGAGACTGATGCCTGCCTCCGCAGCTGGCACTGGATGTGACCCAGTGCTCAGGGCCATAGGCACCTGTTGAAAAAAGCAACACTTCAGTCCGCATGGCCCAAAAGTCTGGGTTGAAACAAATAAAACATGACGCTAAAGGGGCTGACGAGGTGGCTCAGCAGGTAAAGTATTTTCAAGCAAGCATGAGGACCTGTGTTCAGACCCTCAGCATCTATGTAAAATCTGGCACCCATGATGCAACCTTAGCATGAGAGGACAGATTGGCTCATTGTCCAGCCAGTGCAGCTAAAAGAGTGAGCCCAAGGTTAAATGAAAATATTTGTCTCAAAAACAAAGATGGAAAACACTAGAATACAACTCATGTTGATCTCTGCCCTGCCGGAATGAGCACACCACACACACACACACACACACACACACACACAAAGCTGGGCTGAGCACTACATCTTTCAATGTATAGTTTTCACATGTGTTCATGGTTTTGTTCTTTGATTTACAAGCAAACTCCTGGTCTCTTCATTGTCAGTCAAGTTCAGGAAGCTGCGCAGAAGAGTCATAAGGGTTGTTCATGTTTTTTAAAAACTTTAAGTAGGCTTCCCAAAAATAAGCAGAGTGCTCATTCATAAAAAAGCAGCTTAATTAGTCAGGCATGTTTTGGTGCTGTGAATAATATCCTAAGTATGACTTTCCACTAAGCTCACAATAGCCTGTAAACAGGAAAAGAAAGAAACAAACAAACTTCAGCCTAACTGCAACTCAGACTAGCTGAGGCCCATTACCATCTGAGGGAGAAGGCCAAGCAGGATCTCCCTGCGCTGGCTGCAGAAGGGTTCTCAGTTTGTCCACAGGTCTTGCCTGCATCTCCTTCCCAGGCCTCCACCTCGTAAGCGATGGAACAATGAAGTCACTGCGGAGACTTGGCGCTCTTAGAAATAAAAACTTCTAGGAAATTGTCTGCCATCAGTAAAGAGAGAACAACCCACAGCAGACCTCAGACAGGCCCAGCAAGGCAGAGGCCAGGAAGCACGCTGAGGTTGCTGCTCTGCCTAGTCGGGAAATGAAACACTAGTGGGATGATGGCCATCACTTGGAGAACACACTCTCAGGGCTTTCTACCTCTGTGCCTCACTTTTAATTCTGTTGATAAAACAAAGCAGGAAAGATATGTCTGCTGAGAGCCCTTTCCGCTTCAAACCAATAGTAAGTCTAAAGAGGGAAGTAGATAAGCCACAGGCACCTCAGTAAAGATATATACATACATGTACACACATGCACATACACACGTGTACACACACGTGAATACGCACATGTGCGTGTATACACAGGCACACACTCATAAACACATGTACATACAATGTACAGCTGCACAAACACATACACACAAACACACGTACACACAACACATACATACACACATGCACATACAGGCACACATAAACACATGTACACACACAGAATACAAACATACACACATGTATATCCAACACACACCTGCGAGTACACTCGCACACACATAAACAAACACAGGCACGCATACACGCACATACATACCCTTGGATTTTTAGCTTTCAACCGTCAAAATATCACATAAAATAAGCTGGAGAGGAAACTGGATTAGGCATTTTTGTGACACCACACACAGCTACCTTTCTGTGAAGGAACAAAGGTGTGTGCTAGTCAACAAGAGCCACAATTTGTGCCAACCCTACCACAAGGCAATCATTCCACAGTCCCTTAGCAGACCAGGAAAAAAAAACAAAAAACAGGTACCAGGAAAAAACAGGGACAACCACAGACATCTTCTCTGTCAAGAAAATGGACATATCATAGCTGTAAGAGCAATTGGAATGGGTCCTTAAAATGATTCATATTCTCACTCTCTGGAAAATACTTCAGCTGGGTGATAATGCTGGGTCATCTTCCCAAATGCCCATCCCTAACAGAAAGAAAAAAAAAAAAAAAAAAAAAAAAAAAAGACTGTCAGAAAGAACTCATTCACACATTGGAAAAGGTGTCATAAGCCAGGGGCACTTTTGAGTCATTTGCAAGTGTTTAATACTTTCTAGAAAAAGTCAACATTGCCATTTCTTTAGGGAGAAAATGCAGTGAAGCAGGGCAATGTCAAGGGCTTTTTACACAGAACACTGCACCTCTTGTTTGAGTTCCCCAAGGCTAGCATGAGTCACAGACAGAAGCAGCGCACTTCTGCAAACATTTAGCCAAAACTTATTTTCATCCTCTAAGTGTTTGAGGAGTTTGGGGTGGGGCGGCGGGGATAACAAATGACTCCAATTAGCCTCTTTCCACTGTCTCAACGTTCGTGCAGATGCCATAAAAATACACTGGGAAACTGAGTGAGGCAACTGCTAATACAGTCAACGGGAACCAAAATGTATAGTGGTTAGCTACAAAAGGGCCAGCAGGTTCTAAACATGGGATGTTGTATATGGCCACAGAGAAACCTCTTATTGGAATAAAGTAATAACCAATACCACGGGGCATAGAAAAACAAGGCCAACTACATACAACACCCAGAAATTAACGGAGGCAAGCCATCATTGCCAAACCTGACACTAGGCAATGATCCTACTAACCGCATCATGGCACTAATAACAATTATTATGATGATAATAAAAAACTTAAGGTCGGCTAAGTGTTTATCACCCACATTAGATGAGTGACATATAATTTAGGAGATTATAAAAAAATAATTAGTGCTCATATTGGTGGGCTCGTTCATTACAATCTTAGGGTTCAAGCTGACTGCGTGCTTGCTTCCACACTTCCTTCCAATATACATTCAAGTGCAATTTTAATTGAAACTGATCTTCCACTTCAGATTTCAAATTAATTCTTCTTTGGAGTGCTTCATGGTCCACACACCCGTGGTTTGCAAACTCCTATGTCATTAGTGGAGGAAATGGAACACTTTTTCCAAGCTGCAGGTATCGATTACCTACTCTTAGTTGGAAGCACTGTTGCCATTCCAGACTGTATATATCTCTGGTGTTGACGCTTTATAAAAGTTCATACCGTTACTCGTTCACAGTGGCAGTCTCACCATGTTAAATGGTTTTGGTTTTCAGAATTTTGAATAAATTTCAAAGTGAAAAAGAAAAAAAAATGACATTTAATACAGAATACTGATCATACGCAAGCTTGCTGAGAAAAACAAAACAAAACCCACCCATGAGCAAGATGGCTTCCTCTCATAGATACTCTAAGAACAGGAAAACTCACTTGCAGGCTGTTTCTCTCTTAAGAACTCTTAGAGTGGGCAGGACTTTTGCATTTCAGGAGTTCAATCCATCTGAAATGGCCTGCCCCTCTGACAACACAACTTTATCAAGTCTCACGTTCTCAAAAATGTCCAGCAGCTTAAGCAGCCCCCTGAAAGTTACTTGCCCAAAGGAACTTCCCATTCACCTGTTAAAACTACACAAGTGTGACCTGTATTGAGAGACCCTGCCAACCTTTAAACACCAAGACAATCTAGCAGTGTCCCTCATGCAGCCTAGGAAGAAAAATATTTTCTTTTTGATGAATGCAATGAGCGCATGTGAAGCCACTGGCTGAAAGTGTGGTCTTCCTAAAACGGCCTTCCGCTAGAAACAATCTGCTTGGTTCCCTTTGGGCCTCATTATCACTATTGCTAACTTACTCCTAAATATGTGTCGTCCCGACTCATGATTATACCAGTACGACAAGGATCTTCTATGGTTCAACTTTACACCAATAAGCAGCACCAGATCACATAGGCAGAGCACCTCTGTCATCTCCCCATCTCTCCCACAAAAAAAAAAAAAAAAAAAAAAAAAAAAAAAAAAAAAAGGGCCCTTCCCCTTCCAGATAGCAAAGTCCTAAAGGAGAAAGGGCACAGGCAGGACATATGACTACTGTCCTGTCCCATATTAACCACGGCATCTGCAATTCCACATGCCACATATTCAGAAACTCTGCAAATCTTTGCATTAGCTAAAACTACAAGAAAGCACAGTATCTCTTAGGGAAGTGATGTCAGCCAGCCTTGAACTCATTTCCTTGTAGCTCACCATCTCCCCTCTTCCTGCTTCCTTCACAAAGTGCCTTGAAAGAACAGAGATCTGTACTCCTTAGGTGGGACTGAGATTAGATTCCTGCTGCCCATATTATTAGAGATTTTATGTCAACTGGCCACAAGCTCAAGAAATTAGGGAAAATGCCTTCTCAATCGAGAAAATGCCTTTATAAGATTTGCTATGTAGGCAAGTCTGTAGGACATTTTCTTGATTAACGATTGATGTGAAAGGGCCCAGTCCCTTGTGGATGGTGAGATCCCTGGGCAGATGGCTGGGTGCTATAAGAAAGAAGACTGAACAAGCCATGAGGCCCAAGGTAGCGAGCAGCACTCCTCCAAACCCCTGATTCAGAGACTGCCACTAGATTCCTGCCTTTGGTTCCTGTCCTGGCTTCCCTGGATGACAGACTACATGCCACTCACTGAAATAAACTTTTTCCCTTCCAAGTTTCTGCTGGTCATGGTGTCTCTCCGGTACCTCCTCTTAACTTCCCCATAATCTAACACCTACCATGGATTCCTCAGTAGAGTAACTCCTAAAGCATATATTGAGATGAAAATTAAAAAAAAAAATTGGAAGAAGAGAGTGGGAAAGTGTCTTCTAGTGACACTTCCATGTGTTCTTCGCTGTGATTTCACTTTAATTTTATACATCTATCTGCTGACTGTTTATTAAATTTTCCCTTCCTTGGTCTTCATAGGTAGGATGCCAACTTCAGAGGTAAATTCTCCTTAGCTTCATTAATCCACAGATTAGTCTGAACTGTGACAAAGTAAGATGTGCTGTGAAAATATGATGATGAAGAAATCTATGAACAAACTGAACAAGCCAAGACTCATGATTGCACTTTTTAAATTCAGTGCATAACAGAACTCGAGCCTTTGGTACCCTGTAGGAAGCATGGTTAGTTACTTATTGAACTTCCCACTGTTTTGTATACTTCAATGACTTCTCTAAGCAAAGACAGTCAAGGGTGAGGAAGCTCTAACCCTCTTAGTACATATT